ATTAATTTATCAAAATGATTTCCAGAAATTATCTTTTCCTTCAAGTGCTCACGCAGTATCTTTTGAATAACCCATGATCACAATTTCTCCAGGAATTGACATTATTATTTTGTCTGAAATTCTAAAATCTGTTTTTATAAAATATTTTAATTTTCTTTTTATTATGGCAAATATATACAAATTTCTCCTGCTATATGAAAGTAGGGAGCTCTGGTAGCATAGTGCCTAAGGCACTTGACTGCTAACCAGAAGGCTGGTGGTTCAAACCCACCAGCCACTCCTTGGAAGGAAGATGGGGTAATCTACTTCCACAGTGATACTGCCTCGGAAACCCAAGGAGGGGTCACTATGAGTCGGGTCTGACTGGATGGCACATAATAACAACAACATATGAAAGGAGAGTGTTCCTATAAAGTGAAGAAGTAATTGCCATTATTTTGTAAGGGAAAATTTTTTGAGTGTTCCCAGACCCCAAATATAACCTACCACATCATAAAAAATAACACATAAAACCTAAAATAACACTAACAAATAGTTTTCACAAACACAATTCAAAGCTCTGGTGTACAGTTTTATGCTGAGATGCTGAGTGTAGTTCCCAGGGAAGGCGCTTGGAGATGACACTCTCACTGTTCAAGTGTGCTATGCTACCTTCTTAAGGACTTGCTGCAAAACAAATGCTGAATGCTACTGTCACTTTTCACCTTTTTTTGTAAAAGTAAAATTTCTCTTTGGATTTCTTTCATGTAGTGAAAACAAGTACTAATGTTGATCTTTTGCTAAAGCAAAGTGGCATAAAAAGTAGAGGATACTAGTGTTTGCTATTTTAATGAGTTTTAAGTGGAAAATTTATTGACATTTATTACAATGATACAAGCATATTTGGCTGCTAACCAAAATGTTGAGGTTTTGAGTCTTCCCAGAGGTGCCTCAGAAGAAATACCAAACAAAAAATCAGCCAATGGAAATCCTATGGAGCAAGTGGCCATCGTAACTCAGAATCTACTCCATGGAAACTTTTTAATATATTTTGATCTCTTTCTGATTGGTTGACAGTGGTAGCCAGGCACCATCTAGTTCTTCTGGTCTCAGGGTCATGTAGGCTGAGATTTGCACAGTTCACTAGTCCCTTGGCCTAATTATTACCTTGTGTCTAGACATAGATTTTGACAATGGATTTTTAGATACAATATCAAAAGCTTGAGCAAAACAAGACAAAACTGACAGATTAGACTTCGTCCGAAATCTATTTTGGAAAACAAAACTAAGGCAAGTTTCATTTTCCCCATGACTTCTTAAACACTGTGGATAGTTAGAACAATTATCTTGTCTAAAGACATGAAAGGAGAAAGTGCAACTGGAGCTGGAGCTGTAGATAGTGGGTGGTTTGTGAGAGTGACCAGACAGAAGCTGGGACCTCTGTTAAGGCCAAAAACCAACTTAGATGCCTGGCTCAGCAAGGGATCCATAAGTACACCCCTAGGTGCCAGGCTGCCTTGCCAGGGCAGAGGAGGGCAGAGTGCAGGGGTAGGGCAACATTGTCTACAGACCTCTTAAGAATGCTTATTTTACCCTTTGCAACATGAACATTATTCTCTTTAGGAATATAGCAACAAGGAAAACATTAATTCATTTTATGTATCCTCTATTTTCCTTAAATTGGTCATCTGTCTAAATCAATAAACCAATTGCCTTTGAGTTGATTCCAAGTCATGGCAGCCTCATGTGTGTTACAGTAGGACTGCATTCTGTAGAGTTTTCAGTGGCTGACTTTTTGAAAGTAAATTGTCAAAACTTTCTTCCAAGACATCTTTGGGTGGACTCAAACTTCCAAACTTCTTGTTAGTAGTCAAGCATGTTAGCTGTTTGCACTACCCAAGGACTCTTGTAAATCAAGGGGATAAAAAGACAAATCAGTTGCTCTCAAATGGCATAAACCAGTAAGAGCTCCATTATTGACTTGAAAGATTGACAGTTCAAACTCACCATGAGGTTCTTTTTAAGAAAGGCCTGGCAATCTGCTTCATAAAATTCACAGCCTTGAAAACCCTATGGAGTATAGTTCTGTTCTTTATGCATGGGATCACTATCTCAATCAATAAACATTAAAAATGTATCTTTTTCCTTTACATATCTTGTAAATTAAAACTTTTTTTCTTTGTGCTAGTAACAGCCTATCAGTAATATTGGTAGTTATTGAGTACTTATAATATCTGTGCCCTGTAATGCTTCTTACATAAAAGAACTCATTTAATTCTTGTAACAACCCCTTGGAGTAGGTCTTAACATTACCTCCATTTTATAGATAAAGAAACTGAAGCTTGTAGGTGCTAAGTAATTTGGGGAGATTACACATTAAGAGATGGAATTGGGATTCAGTTAAAGTGACCTTCCTCTAACTTCCTAACTCATTACCACTGTCTTCCCATTGTGTGATTCTGTCCTGAACATGCTTCTCATAGCTCTCTTCTGCTCTCTGGAAGTCATCTCTTGTACTCTCATACACACATTGTTATCACCTGAATGTAGCAGAGCTCTAATGGGACTGCGAGAGCAAAAAACCATAATGTTCCTCCCTGAAATGTATAATATATATATCACATTGTGGTTTAACTTTCTTTGCTGTTATAAAATCTAATAACTTTTGTCTGGCATCATCACTTTCCCATGTATTTCCAATTCTTCCACATCACTGCCAGTGTTTCCTTTTTAGTCATAATTATTCTGAAAACAGCAGTCACTTCTTATGCTTTCCTTACACCTCTGTGTGTAAAATTATCAAGTGGGCCATATCCAGACCATCTCTGAGGCTCTGCTTTGAACACAATTAGAGTTCCAACAGAAGTCCAGTAAACAAGCTTCTTCTAAAACTGCAAATAACTTTCCTAGGGGTCATTTTCATTTTTAAAGGGAGTTTGTAAACCCAAATATATGTGTGATTGGCTGATTGTTTTAAGTTTCTGTATATGTGCTGGGCTCCATGTAGATCCCTTGTCTTTTTGGAGCTTTTCAAGCCAGACATGGAAGTATAGGAAAAACACCAGCAACTTGGCATACATGTTTCTGATAATTTTCTTTATTAGGCTAAGCAAATATATGTGGAAAATGCCTGTTTTAATTCTGAAAAGAAATCACACATGATATTTCATATCAATCAAAACTACATACTACCATTATTTGTTACTCTCTACTGGCTTCCAAAGGAGCTCTGGTAGCATAGTGCCTAAGGCACTTGACTGCTAACTAGGAGGCTGGCGGTTCAAATCCACCAGCCACTCCTTGGAAGGAAGGTTGGGCAATCCTACTTCCGTAGTGATAACTGCCTCGGAAACCCAAGGAGGGGTTGCTAGGAGTCGGGGCCGACTCGATGGCAAATAACAAACAAACAAAAAAAACTGGCTTCCAAATGAATCTTGGTGCTTTCCAAATAGGAAAAACAGATATAATAAGGTTTGTATTAAAGATAAATGGTAAAAATTGAAAAAGCACAGAAAATATGCAGATGGAGTTATTGCTATTGAATATGTTGATTGCAGAGCTTCCTAGTACCCAGGGCAAAAGAAAAAAACACGATGGAGCTTGAGATCTTCCCTACTTGCTAAATAAAAATGCATGAAATTTTTAACAAAAACTTCTTTCTTCTGGGGCTAAATTTAAGATTGATCTTAATTTAAAATGATCTTACATGAGGGACTGTTGAGTGATATACAAGATAATAAATAAGAAAGACTAGGATCTGCAGCACATGCAGAAGAAAACCCCATATGAGTAATTTTGCTTGGTGCTCACCAAAGCATATCTCTAGAATAGTGGGTCTAAAGAGTTGAATCCCTGTTTCAAGAAAACTTTTCATTCAGAAGCTCATTTGGTGGAATTTATCAAAAAGGGGCTGCGCTAGGTAAAACAAATGGTGGAAGTCTATATCCTACTCTTGGGCTACCTCCTTGAACTCCCACAGGAGTAATCTACCCTTTGCCTCCAGAAAATAAATTTGAAAACAGAAGCACTAAGGAAACCTTTCCCAAGATATGCACAATAAAAGTCTCAAGGGAAAGGTCTTCTTGGTTCATTAGATATGAAAGCACTTATATCTTTCAGAGAAAATAAAACTGCACATTAGTATATTAGAGCATTCTAGCCATTCTATTCTGTAATGATTTTTTGTTTCTTTATATTGGCATTTTATGGCATAATATTATAGCATCTGAGAAATCTTCATCTCAAGCCTCCCAATAAATGAACAATAATCCTTGTTTACAAAGTGCTACGATTTAGGCTTCTCTGGTCAGATCCTTTCATAGAATTATATTTATCAAAAATATAGACATGTAACAGAAAGTAAGATTTTTGTTTTGTTCTTTAATTTGGTATTTTACAAAGGGTATTAACTAAAACTTGTGCACAGACAAAAACACACCTCAGATCATTTTATTGTGATATGTATTACTAATAAACTACATAATAATACAAGTGATCCTCAGCCCCTTCTTCTAAATTTATTTCCTTTTAAACTTATAGCAACTCAGCTATTCTGGTTTTCAGTCCAGAAATGGTGAAAGAAAAATAATAGTTTCACACTGATAACCATAAGAACTGAGAGCTGATAATCTGAAAGCAAAGTCCCTACTTAAAGAACAAAGGACTCAATTGTGAACTCTGACAGCAGTGAAGGTGGTTAGGAGTGTAGTGTGTAAGGTGACATTTTGAAAGGCACCTGTGGAGAGAACAGAAAGATGATCGTTCTTGTAACAGTGCACCCAAAGCATCAAAAAGGGCATGTTGCTTTAAAAAGCAGAGAATTATGTACACATTTTAGGAACATTTTCATTCAAAATAAAACATTCAAAATAGGTCTGAGGTTTGGGTTCCATGATTCTACAGAAAAATCCTCTGCACTTTAGGAAAACGGGCTCATGAATAATTCATCCTCAATTAAGGTGTGCATTTGAAATATTTTGTGCTCTAGGTTTATTCAATTTTTATCATATGCTTTGAAACAGGTTCTCTCTAGTGGTCTTATGGTTGCTTTGTCTGGAAGATGTGATCAAGAGATCCTTCGTCTCCTGCTGCCATTCCATGAAGATGAAACATTTCATTTTGCAGTGAAGGAACTGTGTGCCCTGCCAGCATCAGAAGTGTATTCGCTGATTGTGTTGATGAGTCGAAACTTGAACCTGCGGAATTTCATCTACAAAGTGAGGAGACAGCAACATGAGTGGGGGGTTGGCCTGAGAGGGTAGTTCTATATTCTACATTGGAGCTGTGGACTTGAGCTAAGTTGAAGACAGGCTGCATGTGTTACAGAAAGAAGACAGTGGGAAGGCCCTGCTGCAGCCTGGGCTGCACACAGTGCCATTTGTCTGTTGAATTTGGTGAGGTTTAGGAGGCTTATGGTGCTCAGGAAACCTTCAGGTTGTTGGTGGTCTACACTCTTAACTTCCTAACTCAGAAGGACCAACAACATCATTGCCTTGGCTGTCAGTCTCCCCTCCTCTTTATGGCTGCCTTCTGGGAGTTTATCTGGGAAAGCAGCATAGCACCTGTTTATTCTTTAGCTGCTTAGTTGACTGCTACCTTCCCAGTCAGGGACTGCTCCCATGCATCCTGGATTTTGGCCTCCTCTCCCTATTGTGCACACAGATGTGATGTACTCCTTTGCTCTCCTTAGTGTCTGTAATTGGAAAATATGTGGTGGTAGTGGTTGAGGTGAGGTGCAAATGGTAGGCCTCAAGTCCCTGTGTGTATCTACTTTCTGCCCCACAGAACTCTCACACACATCTAAGGATCATCATGCATGCAGGAAAGAGTTGAAAATGGAAGGCAATATATCTAGTCTGAGGACAGGTCCAAAGGGCATCAAGTGGACACAACCCAGTCCCCACTTAGCTCTCCTGCTCCAAGGTGGCTCCCTCTCTGAGGTTCCACTTTCTGGTCTACACTGATTGACTCTGTACTTACCTTTCCAGAAATGTTACCCTTACTCTTGGTGATTGGTCTCCTTCCAAGTTCTGCTGTTCTCCGCCTAGGGATGTGTGTCACAAAATCCCAGTTAATCAGAGATGCTTCAAAGATTACAGTAGGACAAAATGGCTTTAGGCATCCACAAACCAGGATAACAGTCATGGGGTTCAGGGGAGAAAAGGGTTGTCCCTCCAAGTCTTCCAAATTGTCCAAGGTGGGCATATACATTCTAAGGCCAATTTCCTTCATAATCTTCCTCTCTATTACTCTAAAAATTCAATGGATAAATGCTAGATTACACACATATACGCACACACACACACATTCCAGAAAGAAGTATTAATTTTAAAACTAGTACATTGTAAGCCCATGAGGAGGATAAACATTTTCTAAATGTTACCATAATTTTCAAGACTACTTCTATCTCAGTAGGATTAATACTTGAAACTCATGTGCAGAAGAATGTTAGTTCTGCATTTGTTCACTGCCCCATCCCTGATTTCCAATATGCCCTTTGAGGGCTCCAAAAATTAGAAACAGTTCCAGTGATGAGCCACATGTACCTTAGTGGCCATTCTATTATGTGCACAAAGCCCTGGCTAGACATTTAATATCAATACTTCTAAGGGCCCAACTAACTACTTTGCTAAAGGCCATTGTCCTCACCAAGATTTCTCTGGGGGAATTCAAACTTCCAGCCACAATAAAAGTGACACTTCCATTAATAAGAATAGATCCTTCTTCTCAGATTCTTTTTATATGCAAGGTTCTGTGAAAGTTGATTAATACATGGTATTACTTGGTGATAAGTGAGCATTTCAAAATCAACAAACTGATAGGTATTGCAGCCAAGACTCAACTACAGCTTCACCTCACTGCAGAGTGCACTTGGACGGCTCTCTGCCACAACTATACATTCTGAAGGCTTTTGCAAAACATCATTTGCTATATTAATATGGCATATGCATCTGCTCTGTCAGTGTTGTGACTCGATTCTAGTCATTATCCACCATAAGTCAGGGTCTCTGTGTGCTACTTCTAAAGTGAGGCCGTAATTAGGAAGAGGAGTAGACAGTGACAAAAGCCTCTGTAACGTTTCTATTGCTTGAGCTGTAGCCATTGTCTTAAATGACAGAATCACATTATTATTAGCTTCGTGTGTCTGAGAAAGATTGAGGTGTTATCTCAGGGGCCTTGTGGGTCAGCCACAGAGCCAGCTAAGTGGCAGTCACAGAACTTTAATGAGAAAGAATAGGAATTTGAAGCAATGACACTTTGAGTCCTTGGCCTGAGTCTGAAAAACTGAAGATTCAATATGCAAATGGCACACATAGTGAAGGAATTTGCTGCAATTTTTCCTTCTGTGGAAAGAAATTTTGGCAATTGCTAAAGGGACAAGGAGGCCGTATCTTCCAACCTCCTCTAACCCCACAAAAGGAAGACAAACTCACCCTCAGTAGCCCAAAGCCTATTCCTGCCAGGCCAGACATGTTGCCTCCCTCTAGCCCTTTCACCAACTCTGACACCAACCATTCCTCCCGCAGCACTCACCACCTTTCTGCTGGGTTTGATAATTCACTGCAGTGGCCACACAGAACTCACAGATTATGGAATTTATTACGGAAGCACCAGGTTGCAATTCAAGTTCAGGAAAAACGCTCAGTCTATCTCAGCCTACTGTCTATCTGCCAAAAGTCTCTCAGTCTCTCTCCCAGCAGTGTGTATCTCTCTCAGCAATGCATGTCTCTTGTGTCTCTGTCCCAGCAATGCATGTCTCTCAGGAGTGTGTGTCTTTCAGGAGCGCCTTTCCCTCAGGAGCACATTTCTCTCAGCAGCACCTCATTTGCAGCCATCATTCAGAGAGAGTTCTGCCTCTAGGAGGCCTCCTTTTGAGCCTGGCAGAGTAGCTAAACTAGCCAATCATAAAATCTGAATTATAAGCACCTGAGAGAGAGCGAACTTCTCAGAACAGTGCATAGTGCCACGCCCAACAGAAATACCACAGGTAGATAACTTTTACAATCAGTAACTCCTCAGTTGCTCACAGCAAATTCCACCATGGAGTTTACAAAGACTTATGGATAGAAAAGCCACACTAAGAAATTCACTACACCACAACAATTTATCAATTCATTCAACAAATACTTATTAAGCAATTAATATTGCCAGATAAGCATTCTATTCTTTGTAGGTGCAAAAATTACCAAAACAAGTAATTGTCACTGCTTTCATGGAAATTGCAATATAGAACAAAGAATATATTGTTGTTGTTTGGTGCCTTTGAGTCATCGCTGACTCATAGCAACCCTATGCACAGCAGAATGAAACACTGCCTGGTCCCACGCCAGCTCTGCGATCCCTGCTATACTTGAGCCCATTGCCTCAGCCACTGTGTTGATACTTCTCCTTGAGGGCTTTCCCCTCTTTTGTCAACCCTCCACCTTACCAAACATGCCATCTTTCTCCAGGGAATAGTCCCTTCTGATAACATGATCAAAGTAGGTGAGACGAAGTCGGCCATTTTCCCTTCCAAGGAGCATTCTGTCTGCACTTCCTCCAGGATAGATTTTTTAGTTCTTTTAGCAGTCTGTGGTACTTTCAGCATTTTTCACCACCACCACAACTCAAAAGCTTCAATTCTCATTTGTTCTTCCTTATTCATTGTCCAGCTCTCACATGCATATGAGTCGATTGAAAATATCATGGCTTGTGTCAGGCATACCTTAGTTCTCAAGGAGATATCTTTGCTCCTCAGCACTTGAAAAGAGGTCCTTTGCAGCCTACTTGCCCAGTGCTATATGTCCTCTGATGTCCTGACTGCTGCTTTCATTGGTGTCAATTGTAGAACCAAGCAATGTGAAGTCTTTGACAACTTCAAACTTTTCTCCATTTATCGTGATGCTGCTTATAGGTCCAGTTGTTTTCTTTATATTGAGATGTAATCCATACTGCAGACAGTATTCTTCAATCTTCATCAGTAAGTGCTTCAAGTCATCCTGACTTTCAGCAACCAAAGTTGTGTCGTCAGCATATCTCAAGTTGTTAAAGATTCTTCCTCCAATCTTGATGCCACGTTCTTCTTCATATAGTCCAGGTTCTTGGACTGCTTGATCAGCATATAGATTGAATGAGTATGGTGAAAGGATACAACCCTGATGCACTCCCTTCTTGATTTTAAACCATACAGTGTTCCCTTGATCTGTTTGAATGACAGCCTTCTGGTCTATGTACAGGTTCCTCATGAGTACAATTAAGTGTTCTGGAATTCTCATTCTTCTTAATGTTATTCACAATTTGTTATGATTCACACAATCTAAGGCTTTTGCATAGTCAATGAAACAGAAGTAAACATCTTTATGGTATTTGCTTTGAGCCAAGATCCATCAGACATCAGCAATGTTATCCCTTGTTCCATATCCTCTTGTGAATCCAGCTTGCACCTTGGAAATTTCTCTGTCAATATAACACTGCAACCATTTTTTGAATTATCTTCAGTAAGATTTTATTTGTGTGAGATATTAATAATATTGTTCAATAATTTCCATATTCTGTGGGATCACTTTTCTTTTGGATGTGTACAAATAGATCTGTTCCAGTCAGTTGACCAGGTAGCTGTCTTTCAAATCTCTTGGCATAACTGAGTGAGTGCCTCCAGTGGGGCATCTGTTTGTTGAATCATCTCAGTAGGTATTCCATCAATTCATGGAGCCTTGTTCTTCACCAATTCCTTCAGTGCAGCTTCACCTTCTTTCTTCAATACCATTCATTCTTGAACATATGCCACCTCCTGAAATGGATGAAGATCGGCCAGTTCTTTCCGGTACAGTGACTCTGTGTATTCTTTCCATCTTCTTTTGCATCATTCAATATTCTGCATCAATATTTTGCATCACTCAATATTCATTCTGCATCATTCAATATTGTGCCCATAAAATCTTTCAATATTGTAACTGGAGGCTAGAATTTTTTCCTCAGTTCTTTTAGCTTGAGAAATGACAAGCATGTTCTTCCCTTTTGGTTTTCTGACTCCAGGTCTTTGCACATTTCATTATAGTAGTTGGCTTTGTCTGCTTAAGCTGCTCTTTGAAATCTTTAGTTCAGCCCTTTTATCTTGTCATTTCTTCCATTTTCTTTGTCTACTCTCCACTCAAGGGCAAGTTTTAGAGTCTCTTCTGACATTCATTTTGGTCTTCTTTTCTTGTCTTTTTAATGACCTCTTGGTTTCTTCATGGATGATGTTTTTGATGTCATCCCATAATTATGTTTTTTGGTCATTGGTGTTCAATGCATCAAATCTGTTCTTTAGATGGTCTCTAAATTCAGGAGGGATATAATCAAGGGCATATTTTGGCTCTTGTGGATTTGTTTTAATTGTCTTCTACTTCAACTTGAACCTGCAAATGAGTAGTTGATGGTCTGTTCCACAATCAGCTCCTTGCCTTGTTTTGGCTGAAGATATTGAGCTTTTCCATTACCTCTTGCCAATGATGTAGTCAATCTTATTCCTGTGTACTCCATGTGGTGAAGTCCAAATGTATAGCCACCTTTTGTGTTATTGAAAAAAGGTATTTGCAATGAATAAGTCATTGGTCTTGCAAAATTCTATCATGCGATCTCCAGCATGATTTCTGTCACCAAGGCCATATTTTCCAACTATCAGTGATACTTCCTTGTTTCCAACTTTTGAATTCCAGTCATCAGTGATAATTAACACATCCTGGTTTCATGTTCAGTCAATTTCAGACTGCAAAATTTGATAAAAATCTTCAGTTTCCTCATTTTGACTTTGGTAGTTGGTGCATAAATTTGAATAATAGTAGTATTACCTGTCTTCCCTGTAGGTGTATGGATATTATCCTATCACTGACAAGATTGTACTGCAGGACAGATCTTGAAACATCCTTTGTGTTGATGAATGCCATGCTGTTCCTCTTCAAATGGTCATTTCTGACATAGTAGATCTTATGGTTGTCTGATTCAAAATGGCCAGAACTGGTCCATTTCAGCTTACTAATGCTTAGAATATCAATTTTTATGTGTTCCATTTCATTTTTGACAACTTTCAATTTTCTTTGATTCATACTTTGTACATTCCTTGTTCTGATTATTAATGGATGTTTATAGCTGTTTTTCCTCAATTTGAGTCATGCCACATCAGCCAACGGAGGTCTCAAAAGCTTTACTTTATCCATATCAGTAAGGTATGGTTCTACTCTGATGATGAACCTCTTTCCTAGTCGTATTTTGAGAGTATCCAACCTAAGGGGTTCATCTTCTGGCACTGTATTGTACAGTGTTTCTGGGCTATTCATAAAGTTGTGCAGTCATTTATCAGACAGTGTTTTTCTACTACTTATAGGGTTTTCCCTGGCCCATTATTTGAGAAATGGATGGCTTCTTCATTCTTCCTAGTCTATGTCAGTTTGTAAACTGCATCGAAACCTGTGCACCATGTGCAACCCTGCTGGTGTTTGAAACACCAGTGGTACAGCCTCAAGCCTCACAGCAACATGCAAGCCACCACAGTATGACAAATTGACAGACAAGTTTGTCTCCCTTAGCTGTTCGAAAACTCCGCACACTCCCTTTATGTGGATCCCTGACGCTGCTCACTCTGTCATCCCCCTGGCTTTTATTTTCCCCTGAACAAAATATATACAAATACTAAATAAAATATACATTATTATTAGCCTCATGCATCTGTGCAAATTGAGGGGTGATATTGCCAGATAGGTTCTATTTTCTGTAGCTGCAAAAATTGTCAAAACAGGTGATTATCACTGCTTACATGGAATTTATAATCTAGAACAAAGAAGATACAAACAATAAATAAAAATATATAGGTGATAATAGCATCATTAAGGTTTTGAATGGTCCAAATATTTTTTAAATATCTGGGTTAAAAATCTCTTGGAACCTCCATTTCATCATCCATAAAATGAGCCTTTTAATGCACATGCCAAAAGTGTTAAGAAGATAGAAATTTTTGTGAAAACTTTGAGTATAGTGAAGTAGTGAATAAAAACTGTTTTACATGTAAGAACTGCTTTATTTTGTATTCTTCTCAAATGTCCACTTCAGTACCTCATTGTTATAAAAAAATATTTTGAAAAAGATTTGAATTTTAACAGTAGATCACATTGGTTTCTGGTTTACATTTTAATGATATTGGTCCATTTTAATGTGACCCAAAACACTGAGCTATGTACACTCTAGTAAAGAGGATTGTTATATCTTAGAACTTGAATATCTCTGAAGTATAAGTGACTAAAATCAAATGATCATGTTTTCACTGCTCAAAAGATAGTTGTGAGAGTAAAGATAGTATTGGATATTTTTGGTGTTTTCTTTCCCTCTTATAAGACTCTGATACCTTCTGAAGAAAATAACTTGCTTGACTCTCTGTTGGATGTGGTTTCCAGCCTCAACTCCCTCTTTGTCAAATCCCAGCATGTCCTTGAATACCTTCCTGAATTTCTTCAAGCATTTAAAATTACAACACTGCTAGATATGCCTACCTTTCAACAGGTATGTATTTGATGTTTGCAGTGGAAGAAATATTAAAATTTTCTCTTTCTTTATATTTGCTCTTTTAATTTTTTTTTTTTAACTGTGATTTGGATGAAAGTTTATACTGAGTAAATTAATTTTCCATACCGCAGTTCATATACATTTTGTTTCATAACATTGACTACTGCAGTGACTTTATTTTTCTCCTTTTTTATTTTTTTATTTCTCTTCTTGCTTTTATTTCTGTTCTAACAGCTAAAATTTGCATTAGACAACAGAACATAAGAAAAAAAAAACCTTTAAATGGCTCTGGTGGTAATAGCATGACAAAGAGTAAGGCCTCATATCTCCCTAATTAACTGGATGAAATAGATTTTGTTAATCCACATTCCACCAATTAGGAGGTTGTGATAGTTGATTCATTGTCTGTGAAGTAAGAAATGGTCAAATCAATTATTATTATAAATGAGATTTCAAGAGACTGCTTACCTTATTTCAAAGAGTAAATTCTCTCAAAAATACTACATTTATTTACATATAAATACTTGGCTTATAAATTAGAGATCATTCACTTAAAATACTTAAAAATAAATTTGGATTAGGTTAGTGGCTTCATATTAGGTTTTGCTTGAAATGTTTTTGCCTGGGCTGGAACTGACTAAGAAAGAGGAGGAGCATGGCACTATCTGGAGTTAGAAGTCTGGGATAAGGAGCAAGATTACAATGTCCTTGAGCTACCTTAAGGAGCTCTGGTGGCACACTGGTTAAGGAATTTGGCTACTAACCACAAGGTTGTCAGCTATGTGGGAGGAAGATGAGGCAATCTACTTTTGTAAAGATTTATGGCTTTGGAAACCCTAAGGATCACTGTGAATTGGAATCAACTCAATGGCTGTGGATTTGAGCTACCTTAGAGGCAGCATGTCAATACGTTCATCAGCTAATGCATAATTTGAATAGATGTCATTTATCTGGGTAATTTGGCAGTATAGACACACATTAAGATTATTAATGAGTCTGAGTTAGTGATACATTGTGATTAATAGTTTATGACTGGCCAAACAATAAATATTCTGGTGTGTGTGTGTGTGTGTGTGTGTGTGTGACATTTTTGTCTTCTACCAGGTATATTAGCCAAAAAGGTCTTTGCAGCTATTTGAATATTATTCTAAGGATAGAAAAGACTAAAGCTGGAATTTGAACATCTTGTATATTTAGTCAAATGAGGGACTATATTTTCAGAGGAAAGTGAGGAAACTATATTTAGTTACTACTTAATTGCATTTCTTTTTTCTTACATTCTTAGGTTTCACAAAATGGCCAGTCCAGAAGTTCAACCTTTGGTTCTTTTCAGTCTGTGATGAAGATGGTGTGCAAAGAGCAATCATCTTTCCTTAGCAACTCTAACACATTTATTAATTTGCCCAGAGTTAATGATCTCTTGGAAGGTGACAAGGAAAAATTCAACATTCCTGAAGATTCAAGTAAGACAATGGCAATCTTTATTGGTTTAGATTAATTTGTATGTTAATAATTAGCCCTACTTTCTAATGAATAAGGAGCTCAGGTGGTGTGGTGGTTAAGACATTTGGTTGCTCACCAAAAAGATCAGTGATTCTAATCCATTAGCTGCTCCATGGAAGAAAGAAGATTTATAGCCTTGGAGACCCAATGGGGGATGCTACAAGTTGGAACCAACTCAAGGGCAGTGAGTTTTGTGTTTTGGTTTTGGTTTTAGACTGAATAATCACTGTAGAAGCCTTATACATACTGGCGAAGAATTTTCCACCTTCATCATTTTACCTTTACCCTCATTTCTATTGAGGCCACCAAAAGCTAGAGGGCCCAATGACTTTGAAAGCCCCTAGTACTCTGAGCACATACTAGTTCTCTCATCTGTGACACTAAGGAATTGAGTCTGAAATGCCTAACATATCTGAAATCCAGCCTCTTTGCAATCTCTGGCTAACCAGTAGGGCGAGACATCTAGACAGGGAAACCTGGAGAATTATCGTGGCCCTTGCAAAGTGGCTATACTATATAACAAAGAGAAGTGGTGTGCCGCTTCTTATAAGTCACCTATTCATAAAGCTCAATGGCAACTGAAAGGTAATTGATATGTGGTTTCTCTGCTCTATCTTAACTCATTGCTGTACAGTAGATTCTGACTCATGTCCAGTGCATTTATTTCCCCATGTGGCCATTCCTCAGAAGGAAGGTTGGGCAATCTACTTCCAACCTTGGAAACCCAAGGTGGCATCGCTATGAGTTGGATCTGCCTCGACGGCAGTGAGTTTGGTTTTTTATTGTGATTTGGGTGAAAGTTTACAGAGCAAATTCATTATCCATTCAACAGTTCATACACATTTTGTTTCATGACACTGATTGTAATCCACACGATATAACAGCTCTCTTCCCACTTCCTTGTGGTTACCTTTTCCCTGTGTCCTTCTTTCCTATGCATTTAAACCCTTTGAGCTTTCTTCTTGCTCCAGTGTTGCCCTTCTGATCTCACATGGTTGATTCTTCTAAGAAATATACCTACTGGGTATAATTGTTTTCCTTTTCAGCCAGTATCTTGTTTTGCTGAGAGTTAAGCCACTGGAGTGTATTTAGTTTCAGGCCCGAAGGGCGACTAGAGGCCAAAATCTCAGAGGTATCAGCAGTCTCTACCAGGCTGATAAGCCTGGCCTTTTTTATGATTTTGAGTTTTGTTTCACATTTTTCTCCCACTGTATCTAGGATCTCCAATTTTGATCCCTTTCTGAGTTGTTGGCAGTGGTAGCCAGGCACCATCTGTTTCTTCCGGTCTCAGGTTGAGGTTCCCACGGTCCACTAGTTCCTTGGACTAATTATTTCCATGCATTTTTTGTTTTCTTCACTTTTTTTTGCTCTAGACTAGGACAGACTGATAGTTGCATCTTGTTGTTGTCATTGTTATGTGCCATTGAGTCGGACCCAACTCATAGCGACCCCTACTGGGTTGCCGAGGCAGTATCACTATGGAAGTAGATTGCCCAACCTTCCTCATCTTAGATGGCTACTTACAAGCTTTTAAGACCCCAGTCACTGTGCACTAAAGTAGGATGTAGAACAATGTTTTTATGTAGTATGTTGTGCTAATTGAGCTTGATGTCCCCTGTGACTATGGTGCTGAGCATATGGGCCCAGCAACTCACTCCCTCAAGGCATTTGGCTGGGACTTAGAAGTTATCATAACTTTACCGCATTGTTGTTGTTGTTATTTTGCCATTGAGTCAGCCCCAACTCATAGCAACCCCTTCTTGTGTTTCCAAGGTGGTATCACTATGGAAGTAGATTGCTCAACCTTCCTTCCAAGGAGTAGATAGTGGGTTTGAACCACCAGCCTTCTGGTTAACAGTCAAGTGCCTTAGGCACTATGCTACAGGACATTCAGTTAGTATATATAAATATGTATGTAGAAATATCATTTGCCAATCTTATGTGTAGTCATGGGTATATTTTCCTTTTTCTATCTATACCTGATCATTTTGTCTGTCCACTTAAGTGTACCTCCATAAATTAATGTTTGTTTTTACTGATAATGCAATATTGTGTTTGTAAAATGATTTACTTTTCTACTCTGTACCTCTGTGCACCTTTCTATGTCTTCATTTTCCTTAGTGTTATTGTGCTGGCCTTTCCCTTCAACCAAATCAATACATGTCTCTTACCTTTCTAGCAATTTTTTTTCCCCTCCGCAACCACCCTTCGTGCATTTTGAGTGAATGCATTTTAATTATAAAGGCAATTTAAACATGCTGATTAAGAGTAAGGGTTTTTAAGTTTTGACAAGATAATTCAACCACTTCCAATAACAAATTGTATGTCTTTGGTCACATTATTTTAATCTCTCTGAATCATGTTAGCCCCCTCTATAAAATGGAAACAATAATCGCTACTTCATAAAGTTGTTATGAGACATAAAGGAGATGATGCATATTAATTGCTTGGTAGAAATCTATTCTAGTGTACTGGTTTCCTATGCTGCAAAACAAATTACCACAAGCTTAGTGGGTATGGCAATACAAATTTCTTATCTCATAGTTTTCATGAATCAGTAGTCTGGGCATTGGTTAACTTGGTCTTCTGCTCAGGGTCTCCCAAGGCTGCATTTAAGCAGTTGGCAGAATTGATTCCTTGCAGCTGTAGAACTCCAGGCATCACATTCGAGGCCAGCAGGAGCATCTCTCTGATACTTTAAAGTCTCTTTTAGAGGGCTCATTTGATTAGGTCAGACTCATCCAAGCGAATCTCCATTTTGATTAACTCCAAGTCAATTTAATTAGATTTTCAAAAGCCCTTTATATAGGGATGTAACCTAATCAAAAGAGTGACATCCATCCTAGTCAGAAGTTCTGTCAGCACACAGGGAAAGGAGATTAAATAAAATGTGAATATCAAGGAGTCATTTCAGAATTCTGCCCACCACACCCAAGATCTGTCTTTATATACTTTTTGCCTGTGATAGAACTAAGGACAGAGGCATTGGTGGGACTGAAAAGATGAGAATGAGAATATCTAGAGTTGGAGGTGTGGGATGAAGAGCCATATTAACAATTTTCTGAGTTACCTTAGAGACATCATGTCAGCACATTTATCAGCTGATGTATCATAAAGATAAGGGTCAAATACTCTGGGTAATTTGGCAGTATAGACATACATTAAGGTTGTGTTGTTGTTGTTTTTATGTGCCGTCGAGTCAGACCTGACTCATATAAACCCTTCATTGGGTTTTCAAGGCAGTATCACTATGGAAGTAGATTGCTGCTTCTTCCTCCTGAGGAGTGTCTGGTGGGTTTGAATCGCCAGCCTTCTGGTTAGCAGTCAAGTGCCTTAGGCACCATGCTACCAGAGTTCCTTACATTAAGGTTGTTGTTGTTGTTGTTGTTGTTATGTGCCGTCGAGTCGGCCCCGACTCATAGCGACCCCTCCTTGGGTTTCCGAGGCAGTATCACTACGGAAGTAGGATTGCCCAACCTTCCTTCCGAGGAGTGGCTGGTGGGTTTGAACCGCCAGCCGTCTGGTTAGCAGGCAAAGTGTCGTTATTGCCATATTAATATTTTTTCTTGTATCTTTCCCTAATCCTTATTTCCTTTTTTTTTTTTTTAATTTGGCAGTCTTGAACGTTACGCACTGTACATCTAATCCATCCATCTATCCATCCTGAGGACCTGAAGTTGTTGGTCCTCTCACTTGTTTTATTTCAAATGATTATCACAGTAACTGTTAGATGATTATTAGTATCCTCATTTTCCAGATGACATTATAGAAGCCCAGAAAAGTTTGAGTGAGATGGCTCATGGGTGACAGATGTCAGGATTCCTTATTTCAGGTTCCTTATTCCATATACATATATGATTATGTCTTTTCCAAAGTCAAAATTTGTACTGACTATATGAAGTTTGGAACTCTGGTGGTGTAGTGCCTAAGGCATTCGACTGCTAACTAGAAGGTTGATGGTTCACACCCACCAGCAATTTCACAGAAGGAAGACTGGGCAATCTACTTTGTTAAAGATTTACCACCTTGGAAACCTAAAGGGGGTCACTATGAGTCAAAATGACTCAATGGCAGTTAAAGAGTAAGTTGCTAAAATATCAGTAACAACAGTCTGTATAGCTCAATGTTTCAAAATTCATTATATAATCATTCTCTTATATTTTAGGGGATTATTTCTATAAATTTTATAGTACTCCTAAATAAAATAGTTGTTTTTCTTTTGAAATAGAATATGTGGTAAGATGAAATGAATAGTTGCAATCACTACAACAGTCCTTTTTTAATCTTGTGTATTATGAATCACCATATCAAAGCTAAAGTAATATTTTCATTTTTAAATCTTCTCTTCAAGTATGAAGGAACAAATTATACATAAGCATGCCTTACAAGCTTAAAACCTTAGAATATTTAATTATTAGTCATTATGGTGAGGTTTCTTCATGAGATACCTATTGATTTAGATAGTTCAGTCAAATGAATATTCAATTGAAACCAACTAGCCTCACAACAATTATGAGAACCACCATGAAAAATTAATTGAATGAAAACAAGGTATTTATATATTAAAAGTAGTAAGTTTAATAGTTTGTGTAGACACAGAAAAGAAAATTCAGTAATAACCTGTAAAGAAAAATCTAATCTTGACCCTAGTATTGTGACTTGAATTGAGGATTTTGTAGATTTAAAAAGAGATTTATTTTTATGATCATTTTCATTGTCTAGTGTCTATGTCATCACTCATTCCTTTTATTGTTAACTTAGTTTGAAAATCCGAGGTTCATGCTTTCCTTTCTTTCAAATGATTGAAGTGGATAGAATGTTCTGATATTTCTTGTGAAACAAGAACTGTTAACACTGCAACAAGAAAAATGTATTCCTGAATTTAGTGCCCAAGTTGTGTCATGAGATAAATATATGTATTGATCATTTCTTGAGATATATTGTATTATGATTATGCAAATGAATTTTCCTATTATCTTGGGAGTTCTATATCATAAGTAATATGCATACATGTATATATATGGTTTTCTTTTCTTTCTTTCTTTCTTTTTTTTTTTTTTTAATGACAGCACCATTTTGCTTGAAGCTTTATCAGGACATTCTCCAGGTTCCAAATGGTGCTATAGTGTGGACCTTCCTGAAACCCATATTACATGGAAAAATATTGTACACACCAAACACTCCTGAGATCAATAAAGTCATTGAAAAGGTATGTTTAAATGAATGAAAATCTTCTAGACCACCATAAAAGCACTATACTGGGAAGAAACTTTTAAAAATGTTTAATATTATTATATGCATTGGATTACATACATTTTTCTTATGTTGATTAGCATTCATCTTGGTCTTTTTTTTCTCATTATTGCTAAAATTGGATTTGTTGGGTATAACTAGTGCATTGAAATTATAGAACTCTCATATTAAAAGTTGAGGGCCCTGGGTGTTGAAAACACTTTGCACTTGGCCAGTAACCAAAAGGTTGGCCATTTAAACCTACTGAAGTGGTACCACAGATTACAGAAAAGAAAGCCCAACTGAGCAATTCTATTGTGTAACACATGGGATCTTCATGAGTTATAGTCGACTTCAAGGCATTGGGTTGTTTTTTGTTTTGTTTGAATATTAAAAGTTGAGGAGGACTGTTTCAAGAAATCTAAAGGGAATAATTCCAGGAAAACTTTAAAGACCCAAAGTTAGCTATTTTTTGCTTGGTGATTATGGTGATGAAGAAAGAATCAGACATGATACATTCAAGCACTAAGTTAGTAGTTAGTGTTTCAAAAAGTGCTCTTTCCCAAATTATCTGTGTGGCTTTGTCTGCTTGACTCAATTGAGAGTAAACTGAGATTGAGAGGCCAAGATGAAGATTTCCAGTAAGAATTTGTACAGTATTGTAGTTCTGCTTGTTTTTCCTTGTTCTATCTTATGTTGTTCAACATCTCAAATTATTTAGTATAGTATTTTTTATTAATAATTGTGGTGGTTTTGTTTGTGTGTCAGCTTGGCTAGGTCTGGTTGAGTGGCTGGGCAGCTGGATGTAGTATTCCCCATGATGAGACTGGTAATCAACTCCATGGAGGAATCTACTGGGAGCAGCTGAGTCTGTTTCCTGTATTTAAGCAGAAGCTTTTGGGAGTGGTCTCTAGCCTATGGCACACTTGGACCCTGCATGTAGCCATGTCATTGCTCAGTAGCCTGTTATGCTCTGCCGACCTTGGGACTTACAATGGACTTAAGTTAATGGCCTGACAGTGTGGTTTGTTAACATCGGGACTGTGCCTTTTTACTTGTTCACCTTGGGGCTTCTCAGCCTCAGCAGCCAGTAGTTGAGTGAAGAAATGCCTCTAGCTCCAGTGGACTGGAGGCAGGAGGCAGAGCTGGACCCCAAGGTTGAGGGTCTTTCACCCAGCTCCTAGAACCTGGCATTTTGCACTTGGACTTAAAGCCTCCAGATTGTAAGAATAAACTCCTGTTTATTAAGGCCAACCCATTTGTGGTATATTTCTTGTCAGAGCAGCACTAGGTAACCAGAACAGAATTTGGTACCAAGAGAGTGGGGTGCTGCTCTGACAGATACCTAAAATGTGGAAACGAGTGGAGTGTGTCCTTGACCCGAGACCCTAGCAGAGAGACCTCGGCATATGACATGACAGATGGCAGGACAGACAGCAAGAGACTGACATGAGAGACAGCAGGAGTAGAGCCCAGAGACCTGCATGAGAGATGGCAGGAGCAGAGCCAAGAGAACTGGCATGAGACAGCGACAGCCTTACCAGCCCACGGAGGAGAAAGCCAGGTGCCATTGGGTAGACAGATTCCTGGCAGAGTGGGTTGCCTTTGGGCATTAATTGGTAGAGAAAACCAGCATAAAATGGAGTAGCAGGTTGGCCGGCCCATGGATCAAGAAAGCCAAGTGTCCTTTGGACAGAAAGATTTCCAGTGGAGTGGGTTGCCCTTGGGCATTAATAAGCAGAAGTGGAGACCAAGGAATTGGGAAGCAGAGCTGCCTCAGCCTGAAAGGGTAGGACCATGGCCTTTGGGGGTGGAATGGCCACGGCCCCCTAGGTTTCAAAGAGCCAGGCCTTTACCAACTTGGTTCTGGAGTGTGGAGCTGCTCATTCAAGTGAGCCAGTGGGATGGAGCCATAGCTGCTGCCCAAGAGTGAGGGGGAAGGGTGCCATGCCCAAGAAGGAGAGGAACGGGGCCCACCAGGCCAAGGGGGTAAGGTCGCCATTTAGGAACTAGGGAACTGGAGCCACCCAGTGAAGGAAACCTGTACAGATATCACCCACTGAAGATCTGTACAGGTGCCAAGTTGACAAGGGGTGGAATTGTGGTGGTTTTGTTTGTTGTCAACTTGGCTAGGCCTGGTTGAGTGGCTGGGCAGTTAGATGTAGTATTCCTTATGATGAGACTGGTAATCAATTCCATGGTGGAATCTACTGGGAGCAGCTGTATTTAAGCAGAAGCTTTTGGGAATGGTCTCTAGCCCATGGCACACTTGGACCCTGCATGTAGCCATGTCATTGCTCAGTAGCCTCCTATGCTCTGCCTACCTTGGGACTTAAAATGGACTTAAGTTAATGGCCTGCCAGTGTGGTTTGTTAACATCGGGACTGTGCCTTTTTACTTGTCAACCTTGGGGCATTAATTGGTGAAGAGACCATTCCATTTTTGGTATATTCCTGTCAGAGCAGTACTAGGTAACAAGAATAATATTTGAACTTTTCAAATGATTGTGTTGTGTTTTCTGGGGTCTTTGTTTTTTTTTGCCTGACAGTAGATTATACTCCCCTGTTACCTGTCTCACTCACTGCCATGGAGTCAATTTCAACTCACAGTGACCCCTCCTTGGGTTTCTGAGGCAGTGTCACTACAGAAGTAGATTGCCCAAATTTCCTTCTGAGGAATGGCTGGTGGATTTGAATGGTGACACATTACCTACCTTACATGGGAATAATATGATTTTTCCTGTCAAACACAGAAAAGGAGACATCGATTTCAAGTTCTCTTACAGATCAACTTTTAAGCTTTAAATAGAATTTACAACTTAAAAAACTGTTACAGAAGCATATAGGTACACCACTAGTTTAAACATTTTAAAAATAATTGTGATAAAATATACAATACAAAATTGGCAATTTTGCCACTTTTAAGTGTACAATTTAGTGACATTAATGACATTCACTGTGTTGCGCAAAACATTCTGTCACAGAAGCTCATTATCCCCTAATCAATGACTTCTTTTTTTCCTCTTTCTTCCAAACCTGGTAACCACTAATTTACTTTCTGTTTCTGTACATTTGCCTGTTCTAGATATTTCATATTGGTGAGGTTACAGAATATTTGTCCTTTTGTGTCTGATTTATTTCACTCAGCATAGTACTTTCAAGGTCCATCCATGTGGTAGCATGTATTAGGACTTCATTTCTCTTTATGCTTGAATAATATTCAATTGTACATATGTACCACATTTTATTTATCCATTCAGCTCTGGTAGCATAGCACCTAATGCATTTGACTGCTAACCAGATGGCTGGTAGTTCAAACCCACCACCCAATCTTGGAAAGGAAGTTTGGGCAATCTACTTCCTTAGTGAAGCCAGTGCTTGGAAACCCTAGGAGGGGTCGCTATGAGTTGGATCTGACTCGACAGCAGTGAGTTTGGTTTTTGTATATGTTGATGGACACTTGGGTTGTTTCTATCAGTTGACTATTGTGAATAGTGCTACAGTGAGCATTGGTGTACAGGTTTGTGTTCCTGCTTTCAGGTTTTTAGAGTACATACCTATATACCTAGAAGTGGAATTTCTGAGTCATGTGGTAATACTGTATTTAACTTTCTGAGTAAAATATTTTGAAAATGGAAACTTACAAAGGAAGAAGCTAAGGAAGAACTGTGCTCCCCCACCATCCTACCGTCTGAGATCTTATCAGTCATAGCCTTTGGCTCATTTCCTACAGAGCATGGGGCTGCATTTGCCTCAATGTACTCTCAATGGCATTTAGTAATTTTTATTACTATTATAGATTTTGAAAATGTCATTTTTGAAGCTATTTGCCAAAAGTTTGGTCTCTCACAATGAAGGAACGCTGATCTAGGTATATGCCAGAATTTTGATCTTCTGTTTGAATGGGGTCTCTTGCCCTGTGCTTGGGAAAGGCAGTTGGTCAGGCCTTGTATTACCAAGCTTTGGAGCCAAATCCTATGCTACTTGGATTTCCTTAATGTGTTATGCTTTTGAAGGCCTTGTATATTTTTGAAATTTCATAGTGAATTGTTCTGTATTTCAGCTTTATTTTAAATTTAGATTTTTAAATAAACAATTCATTTGTTTTTTATTGCTACATATTGTGTTGTGTTCTGTTGTACAAAAAGTATGATAGTCTCTGGTTTTGAAGGGCTCATCTTCCAGTAAGATAAGAGCAGACAGACATCTGCAGAAATAATTAGATACAATAGGACAAGAGATACATTCAATTTTGTCAGAGTCACAGAGAGGGGAGCAGCTAGACTCCTTGAAAAATGGACTTGGAAAAGCCATTAATTAGAAAGGAGGTTCTTTGTGGGCTTCTGTCAGGAGGAAGAGAGAGGCAGATCATACTAGATTGAGGGGATTGGAGGGGGCCAACATATCTTCTGAGAAGGATGAGAATTTAGAAGAGTCACCAAAAATTTGCAGGTTCTTGCTTAGGCAGAGCCAGCCTAAGCAACATTACATGGGCAGTAGTGAAATGAGTTGCCTTATTTTTATTTTTATTTTTTAATTTTTACTTATTTGATATGGCTAATGGCTTTGCATGTACATGTCCTGATTTTGTACTTGTAAAGCTACTTTATGATATTTTGGTGAAGATGAGTAATTCCAGATCTCAGCCATGGCTACTTAGTTTTATGAAAATTGGTTCTAGTCATTAGGCACATAGACTAATGTCCCACAGAGCTCCAGATACTTGAAACTTCTCCACTGTGTGATCTAAAGTAATACAGTCTGCAATGGTAGAGTGAGCAATGTTATAAATTATTTACTACTTAGTCTTATTCTCTTCATTGATTTATATTAGGTGGGAGCATATGAAATTGCCATTTTTGTAGTTTAAAAATGCATTAAAAATTGGCAATTCCATATTGTGCAATCTGTAATAGAGAGGGCAGCACCAGGAAACATGATGTTATGGTAAGAACCATGGAGTATGTTGGAAGTGTTC